TGGGCTGACGGAGCACTCTCGAAAAAGCGGCCTCACCGGCTCGCGGGGGTCGTTTTGTAGCTGGGTTGTTCACAGCTCAGCAGGCCCAAAATTTTATCATATCGGCAAAAATGTCGAATGAAAACAGGGTGGTCACCGACTGTTAGGAGTGAAGTTCAGGCTGAACTTCAGGGCTAGTGTGCATGTGCTTACACCCTATGACAGCGCGTGAGCGCATGACAGCGCGTGAGGGTGTTTTGTGTTTTCATTTGTTCTACATACAGTAATAGGGATGACTGCCAGCGGTCTAGGAACATATTTGTGTCAGACCCATTTTGTTCCGTATTTTTGTCCCCACATACTGTAATAGGGTTGCTCTAAATACAGTACTGGGGTGTAGTTATTCCAGCAGAATTATTGATCATGCGATGCCATGCGAGAAACCCTGGTTGCGGGCAGCAATGAAGGCGACGCTCTCTTCTCTCCCCGAAGTGAGGGTGTGTCTTAACATGCCCCGTTTTGCTGCGGTTTGCTTTGCCTTGCCCAAAGAAGTGACTTGGCGTGCTATGAGTGGCTCCTACGTTTTAATTTATGTGTTTAAGAAAAGCAACGGCTTAAGAAGCATACGGTATTTGTTAAGAATTTAAAAGTATTCCTGGCAAAACCGGGCAAGGCAAAGCAAAAACCAGCCTGTTAAGACACGCCCTCACCTCGCAGTGCGGACAGAACTTGCCCCTTACCTGCGGTCGTGCGCAGCACGTTCGGGGCAGACGGATTCGTGGTTTCTGAGAGATTTCCAGGCCCCACCCACACTGGAATCGAGGCAGACACATACCCTGTTCTGCAAGTTTCCACTGACAGTGCTCGGAACGTCAGTCTTGTGGAAGTGACGTGGCAGGGTGTCCATTGGTACGCACAGGCCACGTCAGACTTGCGGCTCGTCCGCGTTTTATGAGCGTGACGCAGTCAAACAACGCAACAAGGCTTGGGGGGGTACAACAACGCCATATACGAACAGCTTAGAGAGCTGAGGGCCGTTCCTAACGAAGAGTTCGCCGTGCCAGCACCCGAGCACCCGGAAACTTGGCATGAATGTATTACAGTAGTTGAAAAAAATTATTGGAAGTGCTTTTACTCCCGAGCTCACGTGGCTGCGTGGAACTGGTATCCCTGGACGCTGCGAGGAGTGCAGCGGACCGTAGCCGTCGAGAGCCGGGCTACTGTTATACAGTATGCTGTTAGACGCCCTAGTCCCCGGAGCTAGCCCCTCACCGCTCGAAGGCGGGCTTCCCTGGAAGACACTCGCGTGTGAATGGCCGCCCTATGCCCTGAAGGTGAAATGGCACCATCAGGAGAGACTCGACCGGCGGAGGAAAAGCTCAGGCCGAGGGGACGAGGTTATGAGCACAGGCATCGGTGTGCGGAGACGCGACTTACCAAAAGTTTTTGGAGGTAAAACCGAATAAGCATGGGCAGCTGGCTGCACGCCGGAAGGACGCGGCGTGGGTGGGCCCGTGGCGGCGAGGTTTGCATGCAGTGCGGTTGCTGGGCTGTCACGTGTGACGGCGCATCCGCCACGGTCACCGTGCCGCTGGACAACGTAGAAAGAGTAGGTTGGGACTTCATAGCGTTGGACGTCGCGGCGGTTATAGCCAGGCGGTCCCAAGCCGGCTCACTAGAATTCGTGGTGGGTGACCATCCCGGAGTAAGCCTCTGCGCCGGTCCGGAGCCCGACTGCTCAGGGAGTGCTGCGATCACCATCAGCCGAGAGGAGCTCATATTTGAACCGGTTGACAGTGGTCGTATCCGCTTCTTAGGCCTGGTTGACAGATTGGAGGGGGCGTCGCTGCGAGTGGGCGCCCCATTGATCCTCAAAGGGTATGCGTTAGCTGCAAGGCTCGGCATCAAGCAGCCTCGGGTTAGCAAGCTAGCCGAGCTGTCGAGACTGAGTCCCCGTGCGGCGGTGGCAGTCTTGGCGATGTCGAGATGCTTCTGTCCCGGGCCGAGCGGGGGCTGTTACTATCGTCAGGCCGACAGGGGTAGAGGTCCTATGCCGCTGGATGTGGGGATGAGCACGCTGCGGGATGTATCGGGCGTGACCGTAGTCCCGACAACCGATGGTTTCAAATGCGTGGCCACCAACGCAACATTGCACATGTGTAACGGGGATGACGGTAACCCCGTGAGCCATTTATGTGATGGTGGCCCGTCACGTTGGGGACACATTCGCAGTGGCGAATTATGTCTTGACACGCTGGTGAATCGCGGAAGGCACTCGAGAAAACATAGGTTACCGAGAGAGTGCCCCCGCGCTGATGAGGTGAGCGTAGTCCTTGTGGACTCCCGAACAGACCCGTGTAGAGAAACGCATGTGATTGTCAGTCGGCAACACCTGTGTGTGAGCACAACGGACACACGTGGGCGATTTGGGATACGTTGACAGACAGAACACGTGTGAAAGCTAGCTGCTGATAATCAGGGAGAAGCGGACAGCATTCTGGAGAGCAGACAGCATTCTGGAGAGCTGACAGAAATAATGGGAATGAACGCAATTCTCCTGATTGCATTCGCGACAGAACCGAAACGACTCATTCCCTTTTTGATAGTTATATGTACCCTACCGCTTCGTAGAGCGAGGACAAGAAAAGGGGAGACAGACAATAAAACCACCAACTGTGAGTATTCACGTTTCATTGGCAAGAATTTGCTACCGCGTTCGTACGCGAGACCCCTCCGCGCTTCTGCGCGAGACTTCTATCCTCTTGGATACTGTTACACATACTGGAAGACTACCTTTTTGTCTTCCCCCCCGAGATTTCACAACAACCCGGGCCGAGGTGAGATGTACCAAGGGTACTGTGAACCCAACAGCATAGGGTCTAGGAGCTGACTGGCAGCGGCTGTTCCGGCCAGGACTCTCGAGTGGAAGTTTCCCGGCTGGCCGCGGGTTCCACTGTGGAACCCGCGGCCAGCCGGGAAACGAAGGCAATTAAAGATGGTCACGGCTGACCCGATGGCGATGTCCTTCTATGAGGGGTACCGGGGGACAGAGACTAACAGTATGACCCGGTCGGATACCCGTTCACGGAGTTGCAGAGAGGACCTGAAGTGAGTTTGCACAGACTCGCCAGAGAGGTGTCGCAGCAGAAAGAAGTCCTACACGCTCGCCAGGATCGAGGTGGCTACACATAGGCTGTACGGACCACAGCGGGGCACGTGAGGAACGGCCTGGACACTGGCGCCGGGAGTCGAGATCCAGCATGGTGCCATATGCATGAATTATGAGTATATATAGTGTCCGGTCAGCCGCCCATCAAATGGAAGCTGACAGCCTGTGCGCCTGTGAGTGTGCATGCACGAAATGCGGAGTTTCTCAGTGTGCGCTTAGGTATCTGGCTGGGAGTAGAAAGCTAGTGCTAACACTAAATGCAAGACAGCGGAGAGACACTACAATTGTCAAGGCTTCTGTGTAGGCTACTCCCTCCACTTGGCGACACGAAAGAGTGGTCACTTATCAAGTCTCTCTAGTCACCTGGAAGCAGCCCAGAAGAGCTGATCAAAGTAGAAGGTACTACCAATCAAAGTAGGGGATAGTGAGAAAAGATGCAATGGGCTGCAGTAGTTCTACCTTTGCTGCAGTTCATATCTTAAGATTAATGCCAGGTTGGGCGGATCAATAGGGCTTCGATGCGAAAGACGCTGTCACAAACCTTACATACGTGCAGTACATCATCCAGAGAAGGCATGGCGGGAATTTTTCAATGGCAGAATTCAATGGCAGAAGTCAGTTGGCACCTGTCAATTCTGCAGTGCAGTCACCTCAACATGTATCACTTGATAAATCTGCGATTATGATTTTACGGTTTACGGCTCCGCGACAAGCGGGAAAGCATGAAGAGCATAAATAGGGCCAGTAGTCTCAAGAGGTCGTACTGTAGCATACAGATTGGTGCCGAACCACGACAACGCGTTCGGGGCCGCGATTAGAGAAGCCGCGATTAGAGAAGCCGCGATTGGCCACTTTAAAAGTTGCCAGAGAACTGATAGATAACAGAAGAGTAGACATGGTCTCCGCTTAAACGTTTCGTGTGACCGACCCATCTTGGGCTCAGTGATTCTAGCTCTTATCATTCCCACAGTATGCTTCCATCGATTGCTGTACGGTCGGTATATGGCTTATCGCGTATACGTGGGCCGATTCTCGTTTCACTACACTTTTCCGATATATACCTCGAAGGTATATCTTTGCTCGCAAAGTTGTGGCGTCCATGAATTCGACCTTCTCGGCCTATCTAAGCACCTAAGCCGTTTCAGGCCGACCACATATTGTAAAGATGAGCACCAGAAACTAGCTTTTCTCTGAAGCACTTTCCGGCCTTAACAACGCAAGTGGGCAGACATGTCCCAGAGTTTATCTAATCGACAAGAGTACGAGTGATGGGAATTCTACCTCGTTGGATTACCGAGAACGCTGTAAGCGTATGTGAACGAAGAGCCGCATCCGCAACTAGATCCCAGTTTCTCATGTCTATCTAAGAGAGGTCCTCATCAAATTGACAAATTGACAGGAACCTTCGTTCCACACCATCCC